AAATTTGTATAATTAAATTAAGCAGATATTTAGTATAATTCGATATAATTAACTGTATAAAAAGCGTAACGATTTACATGGGTTACTATTTTATACTTTATTAAATAACTTTATTAGATTAAGTTGTGTTAATAGAATTCCTTTATCCTAGTTTAAAAATTAAAATTAATTATGTAAACTTTAAATTCAGAATTTTAGTTCCTGCTAGAACGATAATTTCGAACGATAGTTTTATATGTATTCTCCTTTAAAGTTAGAATGTATTATATATATCTTGAACATGATTACGAGGGTTTTTTATTGCGCGATGAAAATCATTGTATAAGATACACGCACGGTCTCAGCCTGCCCACAAACCACAACTTTGGTATCTACGTCCTTCCGATAAGAAAGACTTTCAGAAATATAAGATACATCATGACAAGATAAAAACCACGTCCGTAAAAATTGATGTAGAACTCTATTTCCTTCCGCGATTACATGGCTATCTATAATCGTCCGCTCTATCTATAATTGTTTCCCGTTACATACGGATTAAAAAAAACTGTTGTTACACTTCGATATGTTGAGAGAGATATTTCGCGTAATATAGTAATAGATAGTTTAGTTAAATTGAAATAAAGCAGATAAGTGACAAAGCATTTACAATATCATTATGTATCTTTTCTCTAATAAAAATTAATCATATTATTAATTATATTATTAATATTCAAATTTTAATTTGGATATATTCGTTACGTAGTTTGAAAATTTTTCTATTCTATAAATGTGACATGTTGAGGTGATTAATTAATATTTTATTAATATCACTAACACATTTTTCATATATTAATTATATGATAGCAAAATTTTGTAATTATTAATTTTCGTTTTTTTTTTTTTTTTCTTTTGCCTAAACGCAAGATTGTCAAATGGGAAATGTCAAGAATATGTCGGAAAGAATCCTTCTTGCAGCTCTCTATTTCAATACGTAATTTCTTTCGCGAATTTCCCGTTTCTTTTCATGCGCTTGACGGTACGAAATGACGCATGCAGATCGCGAAATGCGAATGCATGTTGAATCATCGAGCGAGCGCATCCTCGAAGCTCGGCGATCGAGACAAATCGTTCATTCCGGCCGGACCTGGTTCTTTTCTTTCCACGCGCGCATTAAGAATTAAAGCTTCCGTGCTTGTAGTTACCTAACGATCGTGATTTATTATTCAAGCCGTCCCTTTCCTTGGCCGCCGCCAATCATCATCGCAAATTCCCTGTGACGAGCGATCGCCCGCTTGTTTCCGCGTACCCCCGGTATCGGAAAGGCCATTTGCAATCTGTCGAAACCGAGATGTAATTGATCGCCAACAAGAATGCCGTCCTCGTTCCGCATTAAACGCGTCGCGATATTATGCACACAGACCAAAACGCGATAAGTGCCTTTTATCAGTGGCAAGTTTAGAGCTCTTTATCATGCGATAAATTATGCGAAGCTTAGTAATGTTTATAAAATAAAACGTTAGTGAAATATAAGTGCGATCGACATAAGTTATTGGTCTTATATCATCTCCTCTATTTATCTCAGTCACATTCTGCTCTGCAAGATTCCATTTGCCATAACAAATATGATATAGATGAAAAAATCCGCGTGTTGTGTACACATATCATTTGTTTGCTAGTTATATTTCTGCATGGACTTGAATGTTAACATTTTTGCGATTTATTCTTCATTAAGTACTTTCAAAAGATAAGATATTCTAAATGACAATTTTTTTAAGAGACGTAGAATTTGGTTTTCGATTTCTGTTATTTGCTTAGATGCCCCAGATGCCTTACTGCTCTTGAATTGAAGAAATTATGAACAATTGTAATTATCGATTTCTTACCGCTGATTTCGACATTTCTTATCTTAGATATTCTGGTCTATGCGCTAGCAAATGTCATACAAGTATAAAAAGGACGAATACGTGTAGAAATCGCAGTGAACTTTGGAACTAAAAACATGCGATCAGATTCCTGAAGTGTCACTTGATAAGAAAGGGAAGTGAAAAAAAAGTCGAAGCGTTTTAAAAATGTCAAGCCTCTTTGAGTTAAAATTTTTTTTTTTTTAATGATATATCTTTTTAATAAACTTGTTAAAAGAACATCGATCTATGTTGCTAATCTCTGCCGAGAATTGGAGTTTTAAGAGAAACACAATAACTCTTTAAACAACAGAATCTTTCTCTATATACGTAATATATATTTTTATATATTACACATTATATTGTGAACGCGAGATAACCTTTAGTCTTGCTCATCTTGATGACAGCGCGCTGCCATCTTCGTCGCGTTCTTTTCGCTCCTGGACAACGAAGGCCGTTTCCGCGCAGTTTATAAAGATTTTGAACGAAAGTGCCGGGCTTTATCGGTGGCTGAGAATCACAGTCGGAACCCGAAGAGAGAGAACAAGAACGGAGCTCATTCTGCGCTCTCTTGCCTCGTGTAAAATCGACGAAGTGATCTCTATCTTGAAACTCAGTCAACCAATCTCGATAGAACAGCTTCTTCTCTGAAGAACATCTCTAGTTATATTATGAATATAGATGGTAAATTTAATTAAACTCTAATCGTTGAAGAGTTCTAGTTGTACTTTGCATAATTCTAATTAATACCAAGAGAATGACGCTGGCATTTCTCGACGAATTTAGCATCTTCCGATGATTATCTGCTTCTTAAGTCTTTTAATTTTTATCTCAGCGCGTCAAAGTTTTCTGATAAATTAAAATTACTAATTTAATTAAGTTTTGTTCAACAAATTTTTTCTAAACTTCTACCTTTTTTTAGAGATTCGCTTTAAATAAAATTTAATTTCATATTATAGTAAAATTATTTTGTAAATAAATAATGTTATTTTAGTGCTGAGATATCATATACAGCTCTACATTTTCATTCAGAAGATTATAAAAACTTTTAAAAGTTTCAGTTTGAATTACTTCTTCTGTAATAATTTCTACAGATATTAAAATCCTTCAAATTTGCTGGTATAATCCTTCGCAAGAACTCGGCTGGATGGAAAAATCAGAACGGTGGCGCCGAAAATGTCTTCATCTTCGAAGCATCGCGCCGATAAAGGCGGGTTGATGATAGGGTTATAAAGTCCTGCTATACAGTCCGCGACTGCACGACTGAAATGGCTGATCGCCCCATCGGAGGGGTAGTCTCTCCCTCGAGCGTGAGTCTCTCACGCGAGGGGTTAAAGCGAAAGAAGTCTGGCGCTGGCGATCGTAAAAGCATCCTGCTGGCGCGATACCCCCTCCCCCCTTCTCTCCCCGACAGCTTCTCAAACTTATCGATAAATACTTTCGTCTTTCCGTGTATTCAGAGGTCCGGCGAGACGATCGGTCAAGTTTGAAAAGAGTGTCGGATAGTAAAGGCAGGAAGATGCCTAAGCCGCGATAAAAATAACTAGACTAGTTCAGATTTATACTGCGGAACTCATTTGCGACCAGCTAATTTGACGAGCTTATCGAAATGGGAAACCGGCACCGGTGAAACAAAAGGAAAAGGATTCGTGCCGGTCTGTTAAGCTTTACTCCGTCCGTTATACGGTCGTTCGGACTGCAGCATTGTGTCGCATCAGCAACACAAGCGAAACTTGCTAACATGCCGCACACCGCCCTACGGATGTGGCTCCCTTTTTTCGCGAATTGATATTGAAAGGGACATGTTGTGGGTGGAAGCAACGAACGCGATGTGCGTCATGAAGGCGAGCCATTTCTTTCTGGCAGTAAAGGATACATCGCTTACATTTCCACGTTATAAATTTTTGGATGTTAAAGCGCCCGGTGCACATGTCAGACGTCCAAGTAAATTGAACGTAACAGATGATAAATACCTTGCAATTTTATGACTTGCCAAACTGTCATAAAGCGTTATAAAAATAAACTATTCATAGATAGATGTAGAGATTAATATAGATAGATATAAATATTCCTTTTTCAAGAAATTTTTGGATATTCTATATATTCACAAAATTAAAGATTTTCTTTGTTCAATAATCTCATAATAATAATATATTATCAGAGATGGATTTTTGTGATTATTTTTATTATATTTATCCATTTAAAGGCCAACAATCTGCGACTATGTTTTAGGAGGGTGATTAACGAAACGATAAAACGTCGTGGCGCGAGTTTGAGAAAGTTGCTCGAAATACTTCGCGTCAACTTCCGCCTGTCTCGTTCGCGATATAACGGCCATTTTAAAGAAGCCATTTTTATTTATCACGCCATCTTCTGCGTGTATGTATTTCATCTTCCTTCGGCGCGCGTTCGTCTCGCCGATTCGCGTATTGGGAGACGAAGACGAAAGGAAATGGTTATCGCTTCGCGACACGGGTATTCTCGTATTAGGATAGAAGCTTTCCGAAATTTTTCGGAAGATCCAACTCCTATATCCCTAGCCGATTCAATTTGCTTAATGAAGAAGGCAGGAGAGACGATGGGGAACTATAAAATGCTTCTATGCTTCTATGATTCATTCTTTGCGAATTGATTTTTTTCATGTATTCCTGTATTCTTTTACGTAAATGTCGAGAGTATAGACTCTATTTCGCTACGAAAGATATACGTTCGAACAAGATAAATTTCCTATAATTTATACGAAAAGGCATTTAGAAATTCAGGAAGAAATGAATTAAGACCCCCGAATGAGTCTTAATCATTTTACAAAAGTATTACTAATACTGTCGAGTACAAGCCATATTTAAATCTCTTGAATTACAAATTTCCTGATATTAAAATTTATTCTTTATTACTTCCAGTCCAAAAATAGCATAAAAATAGCACTTCAATGATTATTTTTAATTGTAAAATAATATAAGGAAATAAAATTGATTAATAACAAATTATTGTTATTAACTGTTATTCGATTCTGACTTCGTTGTAATGCGTGGTTTAAGAAATATTTTATTTCTTTTTTTCCTTTTTCTTAGCATTACTGTTTTATTATATAATAAACCATGTTATTCTTTCTGTTTGCAGAATTCTATACGTCACAACTTGTCACTGCACAGTAGGTTTATGCGGGTGCAGAACGAAGGCACCGGTAAGAGTTCTTGGTGGATGATCAATCGCGACGCCAAGCCAGGCAAATCCGCCCGTCGCAGGTAAGTTCAGATTTGCGGACAATTTTCCTTTCGTCCTGTTTCTCTTTGTCCTTCTTGACCGCGAACTTGTCGAGAATACCGTGTGTATCGTGCTTGTTGCACAGAGCTACTACCATGGAGAGCACCGGGAGTCTAGAGAAACGACGCGGCCGTTCGAAGAAGATCGCCGAAGCTATAAGAAATGGCGGATTGCTAGCTGAACCCACGTCCAGTCCTAGCAGCAGCGTCGGAGAAGGTTTAGATTTGTTCCCAGACAGCCCCTTGCCGCCTGCTAGCGGATTCCAACTCTCCTCTGACTTCCGGTATGTTCTAATTTTCGTATTTAGGAGTAAAATGTAAAATTTGTATAGCGCAAAGATTTATAATCAAAAAGTTATTTGGAACTATGCGCTGCTTTTCCATAAACTATCATGTTAATTGATATTAGAGTTGACTAATTTTTGTGTAATTTTGAAAGGATTTGGAGTTCGCAAATGTTAATTAAAAGAATAAAACAATAATTTTAATGGCATTTTCATGGCAATATCAAAGGTATAGATATTATAATTATATTAAAGATATTTTAAGTGTGTACGCATGTATCTACATCACTTAATCTATAATCATAAAAATATCTACGTTATGGAAAATTAATTAAAGATTAATGATTAATAAATTTCAAAAGGAAGACGAAATTAATTGTTTTGTCATTCAAGTCCTCGCGCCTCGAGTAACGCCTCTTCATGTGGCCGATTAAGTCCTATCCCAGCAGTTCTCGGGGAACCAGATTGGACACCAACCTATGCATCTTCTTACAGCCCGGAACAGCAATTAGGTATATATCTAATATTAATTTCTCCTTTTACATTTTTTTCTTCCTTCTCCCTTATATTTTAATATTTTTCGGATTTATCTTCATATATTATAAATTTCTCCATATATTATTATATATTATAAATTTATATCTTCTAGCTATATAAAACAGCGTTAAATACAAATTACACATTTTATTTAGGTGGCACATAGTTGGTGATATGATTATTTGAATTTATTTTATACAAAAGATTTAGCAACTAAGATCCTGCTTGCCGAAAAATTGGCTATGTTACTTACTGTTGTTTGTTAACATGTACTTGGCTGGTATCAATATATCGTTTACACATTTTATGTTATTATTATAATAATCGGATTAATCAATTGAAATTAAAGATAAAATTAATTTTTTGCGCTTTATCTGTTCAATAATGCGAATAAAACATGCATCATGCTCGTCAGCAGATACGATCCTAGCAGGCAACCTGGCAGATACGATGAAACTGGAACCCTACCAAATGTACCAGACATCACCGCCGGCCAGCCACCAACAGCAATCGGGCCCACCGCCGCCTTACTACGAAACGCAGTACCAGAGAAATAACGGCCTACGCACGTCATCATCTGCATCCTATGGCCTGCCACCTACTTCGCAGCCGACCAACCAGCAAAGATGCCCGATCCATGGCCTGCAGCCGTGCGCCTGTCAAATGGTGAGTCCGAAATTTTTGGCGGATTTTTCGCGCGAGAATATCACAGCCTTCCACAAAGGACGTCAGCGTTTTTATGTTGCGCATGTTCGGCCTGGCAATGTTGCAAAATCAATAAGGATCGCGATGTTTTACACACACACACACACACACACACACACACACACACACACACACACACACACACACACACACACACACACACACACACACATATACATATATATATCCGTATGTCGCTTTCTGTACGATTTAAAAAGAAAGGATAATGTTAACGAAATTACAATGATGATCGAAATGATAAATAAATATTTCTGAAAATTAATTATTTCTTGAGATTAAGTATAAATACGATCTAACTGAAAAATTATTGTTAAAGAAGTTGAGAAATCTTTTCTTTATGGAAATTGAGCTCGTTATTTTCCACGACGTCGATATTTTTATAACAATATTTTTGTTGTCTTGTGTGAAAAGATTTGCGATGGTGCGATGGAAGCTTATTTACATTTTATTATTGAAACTGGCTTAAAAAAGCATCATACGCTTATGGAATTGTATTGGAACGTATTTTTGATAACGGACAAATGCAAACACATTCAGACCAAACTCAGAAACAACCTGCCCGTGGTAATTGATCAATTTTTAAGAGATTAAATTTGCTAAGATTAAATTATGCTAAAATTGATTTATTTTAATTTCTATTAATTAGTTATTTTAATCCTGCGATGTATATGTGTCATATCTTTTTCAAACAGATTCAATTTTTCGAGATTCATTACATTTCTAATGAATTAGAGTAGACATATAAAGAATGACAAATATGGAAAATTGATATTTGTACAAGTATGAGTATAAACAGTGGCATATTTTACGATACCGATAATTATAGAAATAAATTCATATTTTATCTATAAATTATTAGATTAGTCGAAATATTTGTACGTACACATAATAAATTACAACCACAAATACCATAAATTGTTATGATTACGATTTTATTTTCATCGCATTTTCTTGTTACAAATTCGCAAATTAGAACCTGAGTCCTGGCATGTCACCGTCCGGCATGTCGCCATCGTATCAGCAGAACGAGCCCACTCCTACGACACTGGGCAGCAATCAGCAACAGACGCTGCAGTACATGATTCAGACGCAACGTCAACAGCAGCAACAGCAACAACAACAACAGCAACAGCAGCCGCAGCATCAGCCTCAGCATCAGCCTCAGCATCAGCCGCAACATCAGCCGGCACAAACTGGACCAGCTGGACCTAGTCCACCCAATACGCCGACACCTTGCCCTCCAGCTAGCACGATGATGGGTCAGTTGATGGGTGCGCTCAACCATTCCGCCCTCGATGACCTTAATATCAACATCGAGGCGATGCATGGCGGTTTTGATTGCAACGTTGAAGAAGTAAGTCTGATCATGCATCGTCTGTCACTACTGACATTCGCCATCGCAAGATCCGTTATTTCTCATGCCACAAATAAGTTTTTAGAAAAATTGCAAAATTTTCAAATTAAAAAAATCATTTGTCACACATGCGATTACCCAAAGAGGGGAGAGGTTTTCTATATTAAAAGAGAAAAAGTGTAGAATTTATATCTTGATTGTCACGCAAAATATTAATCCTTATTCAAAGAATTTATTTTAGTGTAATATCCAAATATTAGCAGGCGATATTATTAATTTTTAAGAAATCATAATGCTATGTACATAATTGTATCTGCTTTACATAACACAGAAAAAAGTTTGGTAGAAATAGTTACACAACAATTTTAGAAAATAAATCTGGTTTAAATTCTGCAAAAAATTCAACAAATTTATATTCCTGGATAAAAATTGCTGTAGAAAAAAATCGAGGTTTCGTGAAAGAGATAGATACAGACGCGTGACACGCGGTACGTGGATTGCAGGTAATCAGGCACGAATTGTCGATGGGCGGCACGTTGGACTTCAACTTCCAACAGGGGGTGATGGGTACTGTGCAAGTCAGCGATGGTAACGTCGTTGGCCAGAATGGCGGCGTTGTCTCCCAGAACACGGGTGTCGTCATCGGCACGACGACCGGCAACGCGCCGGGCGTCTACGTAAGCACGAATGCGGCGACCCCCGCCGCGACCCCCTCGTGGGTTCACTAGCAGTTAACCCCTCTGCCCTCGACACCCCCGTCGTCCTTGCCGATGCTGCCGTTGTCCGACGGATCGCTGGATAACTTCTGCGGGACGACCGAAGGGCAGCTCATCGGTGAGTTCCTTGAGTTTGAGTTTCTTGATTTTCAAGTTGCTGGTAATCACAATTGTTATATATCGAGGCCGAGTGTCGATAGATTAAATCGTGTAGTCGTTAGTCATTTGGATTTTCGAAAATCGAATCCAGGCCAAGATTCGTATTCAGATTGTTAGAAAAAAATTGTAGAAAAATCATGGATTTAACTATGATTCGGTGATAATAGCTTTAAGCAGAGTTCAATTTACAACGATTCTACATAAGATCATCCGTGCAAGATTTTTATTCATTTTATATTTTTTATTATTTGGAGTCAGTAAAGAAAAAAATTACTATCGATATTGATATATATTTAATGTTCATTTCATATTTTGAGATTAAATGTTCCACGAGTGGTCAATAATTAAAAGTAGTTTATTCTAGTTTATCGGCTTTTGTAAACGAAGGAACTTGGACTAATTTCCAGGCGATAGCTTTACTCAAATGCATTATGTAGTCGTGAAATAAAGGAAAGACGTAAATCTATGTCATCCATCTGTTAGACGTTAGAGTCCGCGAATCGATATATCATTCTCGCGTGGCTGATTAATCATCCGGTACTTCTCTCAGGATCTTTCGTGAACTTTCTCTCACGTCGCGTTTTCGATCATGGAACTACGAAGGGAGGAAGATAGTCGGGTGGACGCAAGAGGGAATAGGGGGACAGAGAGGGGGGGAGAGAGAGAGAGAGAGAGAGCGGGTCATTGATTCGCCCCCTCGTGCACGCAAAATAATATTTGCATACTCGTGTCATAACAGTGCTCAGCCGTATGGTATTTAATAAATCGCTTCGACGTTTTGTACCTCCGTCCCCCGACCCTCTCGGCCCTCTGTATCCCCACCTTTCGCTATTTCGTACGTGCCGACACATTCATATAGCGAAAACCCGTATTCCGACGGTGTTTTGTGCGAAATCGCTATTGACTTGGATGCGATAACAATTACATCGCCGCGGGCCGTGAATTTTATGGAAAGCCTTAACACAATATTGCTGATCGCGATCACATGAAAACAGTGGCATTCTGTTTGATGAAGAAACGAAACGGTGAGCAATTAAGCGTTAGCGAAAAAACACTTGCGAAGCCTCGATTTTCTTTCGAGGCCCGAATAGTGCGCGTTTTCATGTCACTCGTTTAGCTATAAATGCGAGTTTTCCATTTTTTTTTTTTCCATTTCGTACGCACGTCCGAATGTAGATTTCATTTAGTAGATAAGAAAAGATGTATCTTAGATAAGAGATCCATTGGTCCATGATCCGAATATTGTTAATAGTTAATAGACGGTATTTTTGAAAAGAGTAGCTTAATTTTTAGCATATGAAAGAAAGCTACAAGTTACATGTTTCAGAAAATTGTATAGAAGTGTAATCAGAAAATTGGTTTTCTGGAAATAAAATTGGTTAGATGGAAAATACCAAAGGTGTACCTGTGTTTTTAATACAACTCACGCTTTAGAAAGTAAAATTGTTTTAAAAGCAGCAAATTCACAAATGTTTGACCGTTCACGCGCTTACGACGAGACGATAATCCCTTCTACATCATTTCCCAGAGTATTCGTTTACGGCATGCTCAAATATTCACGTCGCTTTGCAACGACCTTGGACAATTTACACGAAATTACACTGGCAATCGCGCCCGGATAATGCGATCTGTTTCTTTCTGTTGGTAGCGGAGTGCTTTGTAAGCGATAAAAATTAAAACGTTTTCACATTCTTTTACGTCGGCTCCTTTTTTCACGTCTCGCTCTCTCTTTTGGTGACGGAGGAGAAGGAGGAGGAGGAGGAGGAGGAGGAGGAGGAGGAGGAAGAGGAGGAGAAGAAGGGGGATGGTGTAAAAATGTAACGTGATTTCTCGGAGAAAATCGCTTTTGCTGCTAGTATATCGCAACAAAGTGACTAAAACAACTCCGACTTCGCTACCGTTGCCTTTTAATCTTTAGTACATGTACAAAGGTGCGATGTAATTACAGCTTTATCCTACCATCTCGACTATCCTTGTCCTCGTCGTGGTCGTCGTTGTTCACACTAATGAGGATGAAAATGCTACGGGAATGCACGGATAAACGTTCGACGATATTAATTACACACTAATAATCGCGTTCTAGCGTCTGCTTTCCAGTGGTCCAGTTACAGCTGGCTGGATGTTGGCTTCCTCTCACAATCTGAGCGGTTGCATGATCGACGCAATAATGTTTTTCGAGTGTTGCAAGAGGAAACGTGAATGAAGCGTAATCGCCCACGATTCGCGATGATCGCCCATTTACTCGCAAATCTATAACGGTTCGCATATCATCGCGGTGTTACGTTTATCTTTTTTACAATAAGATAAAAATATATAGAATTAAATAATGAAAGTTAACAAAGTAGGAATAAAATTAACTTAATGTAACAAACCAATGCGATAGAAAATAATATTTCTGTCGAATACAGATATATATCACATTCGTGTATATACATTTTCATTCATGCCACCGTCAAACCGTGCAACCGATCTCGACTTAAGCCTCGTTTTCGTCACTCACTGATTTTTCTTGATTTTGCGCATCATCCGTCGGACGGCAGCAAAGCTCAAAATGGAAAACGGGCGAGTAGACAGCGAGAAAAAATGACGCCAGCGTTTGGCCACGCGAGCGGCTCATTTTTTTCCCCCGGACAACCTCTTTTGGCGATTGCACTCACATGACAGCCTACTTTGTTGTCCCTACGGGCGCGGATATTATTTACACGGCGGAATATCGGCCCGAGAGAGATATTAGCTTTCAGAAAAATATTTTTCAGAGCGGCGAACGCGCGCGAGCGGCGAAAAAATACCGCCCCCGGGCTTACGCCCCGGTATATTAACGCCTCCGGCCGTTCCAGTAGTTTGTTGTACGTATGAAACCGGTATGCACGCCGATCTCCGTTAGTTCTGGGGGATCGATGTCTTTTTGTTTCCTCTCTCTTTCTCTTCTTCTTCCGTTCTCTTTCCCTCGCATTCTCTCCTCTCTTCTCCTTTTTTTTTTTTCATCCAACTGTATATCCATTTACCGGTCTGGCGGAAAGGGCATAAATTCGAGGGTTTGGATAAAACCGATACCGCCGTGCCCGCAACGAGCGAAACGCAGCGCGACGCGTAAGAAACGCGCTCCGAGGCACGGACGTTTCAACGCGGCGGCGATGCTGCTGTGACGGTGACAGGGAAAATTCTGCGGTAATTCTTCGCACAATATGGAAAAATTTCTCCTACCGTTTGAGAAAATATTTTCAATCATTTTTACGGGCTAAAATTCTACCTAAGGCGGTAAGCGGAAATAAATTCATCTGGCATGGAGATTCTGGGATTCTCTCGACCCGTGATAATTGGCATTTTTATGCTGAAATATATTTGTTTTATATAATTAATTAATATCTCCGATTGTATAAAATCAGACTGAATAATTATTTCCATTTTATTTCCTACATCTAACACAGTAAGGAAATGGTAGCCGTTTCCCTCTCAAACGACGGATAACGAGAAGAGAGTTGATAACGTGATAATCCGAGAATCGCTCCGTTTTATCGAGCGCGACGATAAAGGAACGACCGGAGAAGTCCGGCCTTATCCCGCCATCGCCCTGTAAAACTACTCGCGAGAGTAGTCTCAGCCACGGAGCGGAAACTGCGAAACTACGAGAAGCGTCCCTCATTAAACGACAGCGCGCTCGATGAAACTTTTGTCGTCCGAAATAACAATGGAATCTCTCGAGCGCCAGATTATTTCGAGATCACACGGTACATGACTCTAATTGAACGACTTCCGGTCGGCGTCGCGCTAATGGAGAACAGATTTTCGGAACCATGCCGCTCGTAAACTCGCGGTCGAAACTCGAAACTCGCTCACCCCCCCGATCAGTTCCTTCGCGAAAACTTCCAAGTTAAAATAAAAAGCACCCGGGAGGGAAAGAAGAGAGCGCGACGCGCGCGCGGGAAGGAAGAGGCAGGAGCGAAGAATAGGAGCAAAGTGGAGAGATAGGAGAGAGGACCAAGGGATGCAACGATAGATCGAGGTAGAGAGCATGTAAGTTGCGGAATAAGAGAGGACGGGTCGCTCGCTTGACAAGGTTGGGTGGCAAGAGAAGAAGTCTTTTCTTTCCCCTGTCCCCTTCCCCGTCCCTTTCTCTTTTCTCCTCCACCAACTTTATAATTCTTGCGACGCTTTTGGGGAATGAGATTGTCGGCGGCAGGGACGAAGGCAGGCGGCTAGGGGGTGGCCGGGCTTTAAGGTAGTCCACTGGCGCCAGTGACGTCTGCCGAATAGCTGCTGACTCCCAGACTCCTGCAGTTTCGGCTAAGTGGTTCCCTTTTGCCCCACTTGAACGTCTGTGAGCGCACACCTTCTTCCTTCACACCCGGCCGCGCGCCTATCGATGATGAAGGCTGATGAATGCTCGACTTTTTATCGACCGTGGGGGAGATACCGTAGAGCGGTGTTTAGGGCGACGAATACATCAATGCTTTCTATTAAGTTTTCACATCACATAGGTCAAGATTTAATTCGCACACGTGGCGGCAGATTGCTCTTTTTATTAATTAGACAGACTCTCCGAGAAATTCGGAAATTATGAATATTAAACTTTATGAATTGTTTAAGCTTACTATTGCTAAAATAAGAGTTGGTCACTGTATTCTGTAACATAATCATTTCCTGTAATATATATTTTTTTATAATTAATTAAGTGACGAAAATACTATCGGTAATAAAAAAAATTTAAGATTGAATGATATAAGACATTCGAGTTTTAGAGTAATCCAGTTTATTCGTCAACATTATTATAATGATATATGAAGTCATTGAAATATAGAAAGAGAAGTTATAATTATTAAGAATAACTTAATAATTCATTAATAAGAATAAGAGACATTAAAAATAGTTAGTAAATAGTTAGTACTTTGTTAAAAATAGAAAATTTGATATATGTAATAAAATGTATATATCAGATACGATTAGTAGAGAACAAAATGCTTAATCTTCATTTAATCGTGACATCGTTGTAATCTTGGTGAATCGATTACGACAAGAGAGACGTGCCACACGTGTCAAAAATTAATTACATTCTGCAGACGATGACTGACGTAATTGGACGCCGAACGGTTGGTTTATTAAAGTTTCGAGTATTGCTGGATCATCGCCAATCTTACATTAGTAAGCAAAAGAGCTCGCGAGTCATTTAATCCTTCAGTTAGCCTGTTAAAATGTGATATTCAAAGCCATTTTATTACGTTTTTAATTAAGCTAAGCTATAATTTAAGCTATAATTTTTTCATAAAATAAAAATTAAATTAAAAAAGATATTATTAAATTTATAGATAGTTTAATTTGACTAAAAGGATACTTAACATTTTGAAGATTTTTAATTAAATTGCAATATTACAGATTCATGATTATAAATTATAATTTTTCGATTTTTAAAAATTTTTTATTCTCGTATGTGCGCATAAGCATGCGTAAGGATTTAAAATTCAAAACA